AGTAGCAATAGCAATAGGTTAGTAAATGAAAAGTGGAAAGTTTCTAAAACAAATTCTTGACGTTCGCGTTAGTGTCGTGTTGGTAATTTGTTGCGCTTATCACCACAGGGTTGGGATGATGTTCAGCTCTGTCGAAGAACCGTTTGGTGAGATTTTTAAAAAGTTCGCGAATCGTCTGCAGTTACTGTGCAGGTCGACGTTGCGTTGATACCACTCCGCACGATGAACTTATTTTGTACTATTTGCAACTTGTACAAGCGAGTAGGGTTTGTGTGGGTGGCGTAGGTCATGCAATCGTAGGACATAATAGGTCTACGCAGGCCTCATGTAATAATAATTTGTACCTTAAGAGCATTTTACTTGACGCATTAGTTAGGTGATAGTCAGCGGGAGACGAACGCGTTTCTAATATCGTTAATATGCCATGTGGACGCCTTGCTTGAGTCGAAAGTGACTCCTAGATATTTGATCTTTTTCTTCTAGAGGAGTGGTTGGCTGTAAAGAGATATTTGCCCTAGTTTTCTGCTAAAGTTCATTTATAATTAAGTGTGATAAAATAAATACTTCGTGTGAAGTGAATCGCCACACTCTTCACCAAACCAAAACCAATCACCAAAGCGGTCGGCGGCTATTTGGAGACGAGTAGTGAGGTGATTAAGATTTATCTCTGCAAAAGAGCGCCGTGTCATCCGCGAAAAGGGCGAGATTGACGTGTGTTCGTATAGAGGGTGCCCTCTACTCATTATCCAAAGAAGCGATTTAACAGGAAGATCCGGACGTCCGCTCGCGCTTGACCTACGACGTTCCGGCGTGGTAGGGTCTGGCTTCTGCCTCGAAGAGGCGCAAGCTCAAGGCGCAGTAGAAGCTCGCCCTTCGAGCAATCGTGGGGGCCGGGCGTTACGTCAGGAATGACGTAATAGATCGAGACCTAAGGATGGAGTCCATCAAGGAGTTTGTGGTCCGGTTGGCCCGTCGCATGTACAACAGGGCCGACAACGGACCACACCCACACCTACAAAATCTCGCACCTCTCCACACCCGTCCTCCTTACGGACACCCCCTCTCACGAGAGATACCGCGGTCGGAACAGGCCACTGGGGAGCCGGACCCGACCGCACTTCCACCGTGTAAAAAACGATGTCATCCTCGCGTCACACATCGTATGTAACGCTGTACACCCGCCAGTGCCGCTACCGCGGTCAGAGTAAGGGATGGCCGCTGGCCATCCTCACCACCGACCAGCCTTCTGCTGGTCGACTACGCCCGAGGCATGGGGATTATCCCGACCCTCGTATACAGAAGGCCTTGTGCAAGCTAACGTACATCCCCCTGGTGTGCACGAGTCTATCTGGCACGTTGAGTGCGAACAGCTTGAAAAACAAGCCGTTGCCAGACCTTTTTGAATGCTTTTGCGACATCGAAGAAAAGAGCTCCCAAAGATTGAGGCCTTTCAGAATATGTCCCGTTAGGCACTACAATTGGTCGGGACAGGAGTGTCCAGCTCGAAAGCCAAATTGTTCAACTGGCACAAGGCCGTTTGAAAATACGTACTCTTTAGGCATATGAGACGCTCGTAGAGCTTCCGGAAATAATTGAGGAGGCTGATACGTCGATAACTAGAGGGCTTATTAGTGGGTTTCCTCGGCTTGCGAATGCCGATGACGGTGGCTACTTTCCAGTCGTCTGGGAAGGAGCATCTGGAGAGAAGTATGTTGAAAACGGTCGCCAGTATGCAGCTAATTTTATCTGTGCCTGGGGCGGATTTGGGTTTGAGATTTTTAATAATATCTTGGACCTCTTCGAGGGTTGCTGGGGGCACTAAGGTTAAAGGTTCGCCTACTGGTAGTAGCGCAGCCCTGAGTTCGATTAAGCGTTCCACCTCCGTTAGGTGGGCTGTATCGACGTGTACGCGCGATGGTGGCGTACATTGCGGTTCTAGGTTGTCCGCATTCGACTTTTTCAGAGTAATCTAGGGCTAGTGAAGCGCTATTAGGTATTACTTGCCATTGAGTTGTGCGATGTTGTACTGTTTGCTTACGATACATCGTTAATTTTTAAGGTTGACTGAAATGTATTAAATTATGACGAGGTGAATAGTGCACTTTCGCATATCCTCCACTGGTTTACTATTAATAATATGGTATTAAATGCCAAAAAAAACTATATGTGTTCTTTTTACCCTTCCCAGTATAAGACGGCAAAGTTTTAGTTTAATATTAAATAAAGTATCCATTAATCCAGTTGAGTCTGCTGTATTTCTGGGAATTACATTTCTTGCGAATAGGCTAAGCTCCGCGGTTTTTGCGATTAGAAGGGTTAGGCAGCTAATAGACAATGACACTGCCAGACTTGTTTACTTCAGCTATTTTCACAGCATCTTGTCGTACGGCATCTTGTTGTGGGGTACTGCATCCGATATGAATTCTATATTTATTCTACAAAAAAGAGCTGTCCGAGCAATCTATAATATCGGAGTTCGCTCAGAGATATTTTTAAAGAGATTAATATACTCACTGTTGCTTCTCAATACATTTATTGTAATATTATATTATATTATATTTTGTATATATTATATTCGTCATATCCTTAATTTTTACCTAAAGAATAGTGACAGACATAAATTAAACACTAGTAATAAGGACAAACTTACTACGCCATTGTTTCGCCTACAAAAAGTAAATAGGTCGTTCATGGGGCAAGGTGTGCGCATGTATAATAAAATCCCACAGTCGATATTAAGTCTGCCGCTTGATAAATTTAAACGTAAAATCAAAAGTCAACTTATGGTTAAAGCATATTACACTATTGCAGAATATCTCGACGATGCCAATGTGTGGAGTTAATTATTATTTAAGGAGTATTTTTTTAACAGTTGGTAACCCTGCTATCATTGTCAACGGTTTGTTTACAAGTTACGTCACGTCGCATCATAGTCGCAAGCGTTTTCAGCGTTTAGAACAAAAAATAAAAGTAACAATTTTTGAATTGATATTGAACAGTCATATTGCACTTTTATTAACCGAAATCAATATATTTCAGTTTTGTATATCTAATACTGCATCAAAGATATGAGTCAAGTAACCTATTCTCTGGTCGCTTAAAGTTTTCGAGAAAAAAATATTTAAAACTTGTTATTTACACTAAAGAATCCGACTGGCGTGTAAAGTCAGAAATTATTATATAGGAATTCATGATTTTGGAGTTTACATGCCAGTCATACCTTACAGCTTTAATGTAGGGGCGCCGATGAGATGCTTGCCTACAGCGCTCTCAACGATAAATCGGCCTCTGCCTCAAGGCCTGCTTTATAACCGGTATTTCAATCATCTCTTCGTCCAAAAATTTCTAGAAGCACTATGAATTTTGATCGTCTTTTTACATACAATTCATCATCATGGCCGCGGCTAAATCCTATCCTTACGGCCCTCACGCACTAGCGGTTTGACGCAGGAGCGGCTAGCCGCTTTTACAGTTTAATATGCAACCGCCTGTGATTGTACGCACTTAACCGCCATGAATTTTCAACTGCGGCGGTTGAATGAAGAGGTGCGGCCCGCTTCGCGGCAGGCCGCCATCTTATTTATACGCACTAGTTGACATTTGTGATACCCGTAGGTTTGCAGGTGCGTTACTACCTTTTAATGAAGTGTGCCCCGGCTACCTCACTCACCAGACGAAACGCAGAAGTATGAAGCTTACAATTCACACCGGTCTTCTGTGAGGTCGTGGTACTTCCCCCTACGATGCTGTCCTTACCACAAAAGTATTGTGTGGCCTTACCACAAAAGTTAATATCGACCGTAAATAAGTTTCAGACAATTTTTACGTAATGATCTCAGTTCCTTGGCATTTCATAGTATCATATTTGCTGTATAGCGGTATCGATACTGGTATATAAAATTACAACTAGTCAGTTTATAATTTTGCTAGTTTTTTCACTTTACATTCCAGCGTTTATTGAGGACTAATTATAAGTCTAATTATAAGTCACTCGACAGTAGAAGTGCCGCGGCAATATAGTGATCGTTTTCATTTTGCGTAATCGTTAAGAATTCAAGTAACAAAATAAATAACGCTTGATATTTTAAAGTCGCTGCTAGTGAATCGCTTCTATATTCCCGAACAATATCCGTCACTTATAAACTACAAAACATGATTGATATCTCAAATTTAAAAAAAATTAAATTCTCTTTTGTCACAACACGTCACAAACCATAAATAAAATATTTTGTTTTTACTTTTTAGTCTGTGTTGTGATCTCGACCGTCGACAAAATTTAAAGTATAGCGCGATAGGGATGGGCAAGTAAAAAAATATATCGATGTTTATCGTATCGACATTTTAATAAATGTCGATAATAATCGAGCGAAAATATCGATAAATAACTCCCTTTTTCGCATGATTATTCATATATATTTTAATTAAGAATAAAAATGAAGAAAATAGTTGATCAGAGTTTTTAAAGTTAACGATGCGCGAGGAGTATGTAAAGAGTATCAAATCATATTAAACACGAAACCAGAGTTGTGTTCAAAAATATGTAGAAATTGACACGATTTCGTAAGTCTAAAATAAAATATGGAATATTGATATATCGCGATACAATATCGATGATATATATCGATAATGGTATGGATAAATATCGATATTTTTATATATTTTGATATTCTTTGCCCATGATGCGGCCCACCGCCCATGCCTATACCTATAGCACGATTTACAAATCGCTTACACTACACGAATACCACGAATACTCGTTCAAATTGTGTTGTAGTTACACCATTTTCCTATTTAAAGTTAAACATTGTAAATGAAACCACACATGGCTTAGTTAACTGGTTAGTTATGATCTCACGTTAATAAACAGGTTAGTGGAAATTTTTCAAAAATAAACAGTAATTTTTGTTTACTTAATTTATAGTATTTATTGTATTAGAAATAAATATTCCAACGAAATTATGTCAAGAATATTAATATTAGGATTGTTTCACTTATTCGCTATGGATAGTGCTACCGGTCTGGGTGAAATAATTTACGCAATAAACGCTGGTGGACCAGCTCATACAGATATTCACGGCATATCTTACGATAAAGATCCTTTACAAGGTAGAGTCGGCACCGCTTCAGACTATGGAAAACAGCTCGTAATGATCCGCCGGGTTGATCAAAAAGATGAAATATTATACCAAACTGAGAGGTATCACCATAGTACTTTTGGCTACGATATTCCTGCAAACAGAGATGGAGAGTATGTCTTAGTGTTAAAGTTTAGTGAAGTGTACTTTAATGCGCCAAATATGAAAGTATTTGATGTTGTGTTAAATGGAGACCACACAATTGTGGCTGACTTGGACATATATGACAAAGTAGGACGTGGTGCAGCTCATGATGAATATATACCATATTCTATTAAACATGGAAAATTATATTACAATGAAGAGGAATCTGACATTAGAGGGGGTAAAATTAAAGTTGAATTCATTAAAGGTTACCGAGATAATCCAAAGATAAATGCCCTTTATGTAATGAGGGGCACAATGGATGAAGTTCCAAAACTCCCTCCCTTAGAATGGCCGGAAAATGAAGCTGAGGAGGTTAAAGAAGAGGTTGAAGAAAAAATTACTACATCACCAAGAGCGAGTGGTCCTAAGCAACCAGATCCATACACAATGGATGAAAGCTCAGTGCTAATACCCGTCTTCATCACAATTGGTGCCTTTATTCCTCTCTTGTTTTGCTTATGTAAATTATAACCATATATAAATTTTAAAACATATTTACTGAAATTTATGTTCTTTGCCTCAAAAAGCAAGCGTAATTGCTGGTATGTAAGTATATTTGTTAATAGGCACCAAATCTGTTTTCTTGTGCTGATAGCCATTTTGTATGTTTATTGTATATTAATAATGATTCAAATTCGGTAGCAAATAGCTTACTTTTGTTCATATGTTTTACATTGTCTTGGCTTCGTTAAAAAAATACAAATTGATTGATAGATTTAGCTCAATGTTTTAGCTACAGTATTAGCTCAAACAATGTAAATTCAGGGCACACAATATACACTACTAATCAACATTAAAATTTTAAAAAATAATATATTGAATTAAGAAAGAATTGCATCACTGGCATAGTTGGTTAATAAATGAGATATTGCAACTCTTACTAATACTGATATTAAATGCATGATTATACAACATTGCAAACTCATGGTATAATATTCTCAGTCAATTAAAACGGAAATGTTCTTGTTGATGTCCTTATATTAAACTTTATTATGTCTTCTTGTTCAGTCTATGTTGTAAACATTAATATAGTCAACTTGTAGCATTAGTCTCCAGCAATACTACTTCTAGTTATATATAATTAATGTGTGGTCTTGTATTATATATCCTAACATTATTTTGATTGAAGCCTAAAGTACAAAACAATCTCAATGTGAATGTTAACTAGTGCCCGTCCCACACCCAAATATTTATTCTTAATATGAAGCACAATATTGTTATTTTGCATTTGTTGCACTTTGGTAAATATGTAAATAAAGAGGCATATGCTAAATTACACATGCTCTATTTTTTATCTTACATACTTGTTAATTAAATAATGGGATGATGGCAAATGTAGAAATAAATGAAAAAGCTAGGTGTAGAAAATTTATGTAGCAGTTATTTTTAATGAACAATAATCACAGTTGTGTAATTTCAAGTCTTGTTACTTTAAAACCATTAGACAATATTTTCAAACACATTCTTGCTTAACTGTTAGAGCAAATTTTTTAATCATCTTCTGAGTTATTTTTATTTTCCCTTTTTAACTTCAGTTTTTGTGAAAGCTTAACAAGTTTAAGTAACCTGCAAACGTAAATAAAATTTTAAAAAATTAGCATTTTCAAATAACAAATTTTCTTAGCTCAAAGAAAGAATATTAGAGGAAAGACAATAATGTGATATTGTTATCAATGCCTTCATTAAAGAATGAGAGATGATAAAATACTAAAATGTTACAAAGTATTAACTTCAATATTTTTTCGATAATTATCCCAAAAAAACGGCCAAGTGCAAGTCGGACTCGCGCACGAAGGCTTCCGTACCATTATCTATTAAACTGCAAAAAAAAAAAGACTGTCTATTGTATGGGAGCCCCAATTAAACTATTTTTTATTCTGTTTTTTAGTATTTGTTGTTATAGCCGCAACAGAAATACATCATTTGTGAAAATTTAAACTGTCTAATTGTCACGGTTCATGAGATACAGCCAGGTGACCTATGGACAAACAGACAGCGGAGACTTAATAATAAGGTCCCGTTTTACCCTTTGGGCACGGAACCCTAAAAGCGACATACAGATGCCAAAAATACAGCGTGTCGTTACCTTCTCGACAATAAATGAACACACATATAGGGGATAGCTTTTTAAAGTTGTATTAAACATTCAAATTCTTTAAACATCAATATTTACAGAGTTATTAAACTTTCCAAAACAAAGAATTTTAGAACACCTTACGTATAAAACTTTAATGTAAAATTCATTTGAAAAGGTCACGAAGCATATGAATGGGTTGAATGAATTTAAAACAGACAAAACATACTGTTAGGAGGAGAGGCTTGTAATACGACGCTGTGGTGCGAGATGTATAGGTGTTACAAATTTTGTTTCTTTTTTACTTAATTAGTTTGTTTGAAAAATATTTTTTTATGATTATTGGCAAGTAGCGTTAGACGTGTGTTCATATATTGTCGCGATGATAACGACACTGTATATGTAATAGAATAATTTCCCGTACAGTTATAAATTGAAATGTCACGTCACTTACTGGTACTAATGAACAAATTAAGAAAAATCAGGATAAAACCAGATCCATTTAAAAGGAATGAATTTGCGATGACTTCTTATTTTATGAATGATGAGTAGTAAACATGTCTGAATAATATAAAATACAGAAAGTTATTAACAGGACGCTAATTCGCTAGAATTTATTAATGCGCAAATTTTTTGTAGTAGGTATGCGTTTTATATGTTAAGCGTCGCTGAAGTAAACACTTATATATGTAATTTTTGATAAGTTAAAAAGTTCCCAAGTTAAAAATAATACAGGTACAGGTGAAAGTTTTCGTGAATCAACAAAAGCTTGAAAAATCATATTTCACGCATTTGCATTGCAACTTGATTGAAACTGTATACTCAGTAAAAAAAACTTTCTGGTCCAATTTATATCTTAATATTTGAAACAAAAAATATTTCTCCTTATTTTTAATACCCGATTGAAATATTACATCAATTCGTAATTTTCTTATAAGTTTGAGTACGTTACGCTTAAACCAACTGCATAACATTCATTTGGACATTATGTTTCTAGTAAATAATAATAAAACTGGTAGAACTGGACTTGATTTTTATCAAATGTCAATAGTCAATTTTATAATAAAATCTCTTTATTTAATACTCACAGTATTGACCAGTTTAGTTTATTAATAGTATATAAATAAAAGTAAGGTAAAATAGAACAATTATTTTTAAAATTTGTGTGGGCATAATCGTCATTAAAAATAACAATAATACATTAATTGTAAGTGGTAAATAGATAATCTAAGAAATGACGTACGTATTCCCCGTTCCTTGTAATTTAAGTTCACATTCTCCTTTTTGATTTAAAACGAATCCTTTTTTACAATTTGCATTGTTTAAAGGCTCTGTTGTTTTAGTAATATTCCTTTTTTCTTTTGTAACCAATGTTTCTGTCACTTTTTCGGTGTCAACCAAAGTTTTTACAGTCGTGATATAGTCAAAAATATTAGTATTCCATGCGTCGGGACTGGGAGATGTTTTGTTTAGCGCGATCGACGTTGTGTGCTCGTTGATTGGCGTTATTGCCGCTGTCGTCGTATTATCTAGCATTATATCTGAAGCCATCGAAGTGTTCAATGGCTTTGGTGTAGTTCGATTTTGTGGTTTTATTGTCATCTCCGAGTCAATCGTACGCGTAGTCATAATCCTGTAATTTTGAAAGCATTACGTAATGTTTAAAAATGGATCCGTTAGTCGATTTTCTTAAATAAAATTATGCCCAGTATGCCGTCGGAGAAAAATTATGAATAACACATTAAATTTATTATTAAGATTTGTTATTATAAGATAAAGTTGCCCTATCATAAGTTTAAATCAAAGGTAAAAACGGATCAAAGGTTTAAATAAAGTAAAAGTAATTTAAGGCCTGATAATTATTATTGTATGAATAATTATGTAAAACTATAAATTATTTAATTTATTGTGGATTACTTAATTATATTTCACAAAACTTTAAATAACGAGTTCAACTTATTTATCTTTGTGTAAACTTACCACATACTCTTCTTTGCCACTCTTCATTAGCGCTATAATTTGAACGTCTTTTAGATCTACTTGTACATTAAATTCTCCTGTTTGTCTTTGGTCATAAGAAGTTGTAGTAACATAATATCCTGATAAGAGATAACCAATAAGAAAACAATATAAAATATTCATTTTATGGTAAAGTTCTGGAGACATTTAAAGAGAATATAGAAGGTTGTATCGTTGTAATCGAGCCTGCGGAACAGAACTGACTGGCTGTGTCACCCGCCCGGGCGCCCTGTGCGCTTCTTGATACAAAGTTATTTCCAACAACTTAACAGTTATTCCAAGTAACTGTGGGAAGGTCGATAGCCTCCGCTAGAGCAGTGCGCCCAGATTGCGCAAAAGACCGCAAATCAATTATAAATTGAAAACATAACCACCTTACTCGCAATGATGTAGTAGTCCTTAATTAAGTTTCATTAAAATATAAATTCCTAATTAATAATATCTAATACTACTAGTAATGAGTTTTTAAATAAGCTGTTTATGCATGACGCATATGAAAATATAATGATATAGAGAGCAACAAAAACGTGTGAAATTGTTTTGTGACTGCTGTATTAATTATACACTGAAATATTATGAATACACATATCTTTAAATAACAGTTATAATTTTATTCAATGGCCCAGTTAACTACATTCTTTACATTTAATAGAATCATTATCATATGAATAATTTATATTACAATGCTAACATTCAGGAAACTACAATCATTTTTTCCTTATTTAAAAAAAAAGATGAACAGAATATTAAAATCATCTTAGTATAAACTTTTTCTGCCGAGCAAAATCCATATTTATAGTTAAAACTAGCTGCTGCCCACGACTTCATCTGCACTGGATTAGTACTTCGAGTGGCTTATATTCTTCTCCAAGGTCCTATCTATCTATATATTACTAGCGACCCGCCCCGGCTTCGCACGGGTGCAATGTATTATACATATAAACGTTCCTCTTGAATCACTATTTGGTAAAAAAAAAAACCGCATCTAGATCCGTTGCGTAGTTTTAAAGATCTAAACGTACGTAGGGACAGACAGCAAAGAGACGTTTACATTTCAAGTGACATTTTACCACAGTCACTCACTTGTTTTGCCTTGCCGGAACCCCTCCAATAACACTTAAACCTTATGGTGTCGTATTAAAGTTCAAAGTGACTTTTAAGTATTATTACGAATCTTTTGTACGGGAATATAGAAAAGTGTTGTTTTTAGACTTTTTCAGGCAAATTTTTTAAATTTTTCTCTCCGTAAGAACCATCCTCATACTTCAAGGAATATTATAAAAAAAGAATTAGCGAAATCGGTCCAGTCGTTCACGCGTGATGGTGTGACCAAGGGAAACAGGGATTCATTTTTATATACAAATAAATTTAATTT